GCCAAGCCTTCATTCCACCCAAGATTCTAAGGGTTATCGCACTTCTCTCAATGCAGAGGTTAAACAATCGGCCTGGAAGAGCTATAGGTATGTGACCAGCGTCTATACTTCTGGTCCGGAGCGGTAAGCAAGGTTAGGAGAAGGGGCGCGATGATGTAAAATAATGTGAGACGCTGGCTGTAGACTAAACTACTCAGCGCCTACGCTTGGCCTGCGTCAGATTAGGATGCTCTTTGGTGTAATAACGCGCCTGTAAATGGCTTCGGAGGTCTGTCTTGGGGGTCTTGTTGCAGGTCTGCTGTCAATTTTAAAGGCATTTAGCCTTAAAATAAGCCTCAATAATCTTATTGAACTATTAATTAGTTCTGTGTCTATTGTAAATATATTGTGCAGGCTATGCGGAGCCCCATGGCCCTATTGGTTGAGATAACCGGAATTAAGAGGATCGGCTTGAGCGACCTGTCACATGAGCAACAAATGCCCATTTACGTAGAAGTCCGGAATTAGTTATTATGCAGGTAAATAAATTGGTCTTGTTGTTTGAAGCTCCTTATTCAGATTCAAAAAGTCTTGTCTGTAAATTTTAACTATTACAAGGTAATGTTGCTGCAAGAAGGATAGGCAATTGGTACCATGGTGGATGCAGTGCTGTTCGTCAGAGTCGATGGTGGATGTATCTAATGATATTTTCAGTTTGAGCCAAAACCATTCGACAATAACGCATCGCGCAATGGGTTGAGCCCAGATAAGATCGACTACTGGCTAAAAAATATGTATGTGTTGAGTGGAAGATCCCAAGGACAGATGCAACCGCGTTTATTTCTGGCGTGGGTAAGATGGAGGTTAAGATGTGGCGCATGTGTGGCCTGGGTGGCTGTGGTCGCGATTGTCTGAACTTGTACTGTGTCTTAAGACAAGGGAATGTCAGAGAGTGACCTCGAGTCAATGCGGGATTGTGACTGCAAATACATGTCATGGCAATAAAAGAATGAAGAAATTACCATAAAACATCTTCAATTATACTCGCTGAGAAATTGTTTGTAAATCACAATCTCACGAGATTTTCTGGCCATTTTATTGTCTTGGTCGTCCTGAACTCATCTTAAGATGGCTGTGCCCCACGCCCAAGCTGCTGTTTATTTTTAGATAGAAGGCCCAGACAGCAGGGGTCAACTGTGGGGAGCATCACGGGCGATAATTGTCTCGACACGCCCAGAACAATGTTCTGAAACTCCTTTGGATATAAAATGGCCTCCCCCATTGATCTGTCACTCTATCATTACACACAAAGCAAAAGACATCCAAGAAGCAGCCAATATCCATTATTACTCCCAGTAACCGAGACCCATTATGTTCACGACCCAACAATTGCCTCTCGGCAGGACATAAATCATCAATGAACAAATACTCTATGACCTTCAACTGATACTGTCTTGTATCTATTAAATAGACCGTACTCCTCGTAGCCGGCTTCTCAAGTTGTAAGAGCATAATGAGGAAATACCGTGACATTCGCGTGCGTCGCATCATCAACAGTACTGCGCAAACGGCCCAATGCAATCCATGATGGCCTTGACCTTGCTTGTAAGAACTCTATTCTCCTCCCTTATATTTTCCACCTTGTCATCAACCTCCTCCAATTCGGAATCGCAAGCGAGCTGCAAGTCCTTGTACAGAGTGTCTCCTCCATGAGTAGGCTCAGAAGAGAGCTCCTGCATTACACGCTCCTTGTCTAAAAAGCTTCGAATAGCGTCGTGGTTAATGGCTTCCCGGTCGATGTAACCTGCAAGCATTTGTAGCACGTACATTCTGCCGGGAGGGTATCGTAGTAAGTCCTCAAGTGCTAGGTCACTGAAGCTGCCCATAACATCTTTCTCCTCCTCTTCTCCTGGACCTGGCGTTGTTTCTCTTCTGCTTCTTCAAGATTCTGGCGGACCGTTCTGTGGGATTGTAATAGCCGTACCATGGACTCTTCGATATCAAGCCGCTCCATAAGGGTACCAGCCTTGCAGTTCAACCAGCGAGCAGACTTGGCTGAAGGTGCCGCTACGGCAGAACTTTGGCGCTGCCGTTTTCTGCTTGCTGGCCTGGTTGGGGTCGCGTTAGGGTTGCCCTCAGTAGAGGCGTCCCGTTTGGCCTCACTAGAACATAGGCTAGGCTGGAATCGGAGAAGCTTAGTAAGACTGGATGTCTAGATGGGATATACGTGCCATGATGGCACAGTGGGCTGAGCGTTGAACAGTAAATAAGGTGAGGATGGTATGTGATGCTAGTCTGGAAATGGCTGACTTGGTGGTGATTAATATGTTCGCACAGAGAAGAAGGAAGAGAAAAGAGGAGGAAGCGTGAAGGTGCAGGAGCAGCGCGGGAAATTGAAACGGCGCACATTAATAATCCTCACTTGTCTCTTCGCAATGGCCATTTCTGGTCTTGGAGTTTTGTTGAAAAATATTTGCGAAAAGGCAGATTGTCATAACTGTCGTCAGCCGTTCCCGCAGCAAGGATGTTGACAAGTTACATAACACGCCTACACACGCGAGGATTTACATTATCAGAAGCGCATGCAAAGTCCCTTATGGGATATAGCATCATTGAAACATTTTAGCATCCAATGGCCGTTTCAATGAACGTATAGGCAAACCCTTAAAATAAAGAGCAAACAGAGTTATGAAGTAAGTCTACCTGCTTAAGCCAAGGAACCTCTTGTTGGCCTGGCCTCTGTTGCCATGATGTCACATACCCTAGGCGACCTGGCCCGTGATTTAAGTGCTAAATGCTGTCCACAAGGCAGTTAATCAGGAATGAAAGACGTGGAAACTGCTGAAAGCCTTGCTTGTCCTTGTTTGTCCCAATGCAGCCAGGATGCCACGTTAGGTCGGTGGTATAGCAGTTCGATGAATCTAGATACTGTCGTGCTGCGGTGGGCTTTCTCACTTGACCCAAATCTATGCGTTGCCCAATCTAGTATAATAAGTAAGTAGTAAAGACTGTATATGCTAATATGAACTAGACACAATTAATATAAACTATATGAAGTTAGTGTATACTACATATACTAGTAGTACTTGCAGTCTTGACTAATGGTCAAGCACATAAGTCAGCATAGACCAGTTTGTATTAGTTGAGACTAAATGGAGGTAGTATATATTGTATAAGTAGTATAAACTACACAGAAATTCTTACAAACAGCATAGAGTTAGTATATACTAGATATACCAATATCC